AGCCCAGTCAAGCTCTTAGATGACCAACAAACCAAAACTAAACCAGTTGCCGACAAGTCAATCCGACTCAGGGTGATCCCATGTGTGTCAGAGGAGAACTGAGCTCCACAGAGTTTTCAATGGCTGATTTTCCTGCAGAGCCTCTGGGTGGACTCGAACCTCCAACCTTTTGGTTAGCAGCCGAGCACAGTAACTGTTTGCCCCACCCAGGCACTCCCAGATGACTACATACCCAGCCAATACCTGTCTCCAACCATGAGAAACTAAGCCAGAACCATCCAGCTGGGCCCAGTCAACCCTCAGAACCATGAGAAAGAACCATAAACTGTTATCTTAATCCCCTAAATTTTGGGATGGTTCATTACACAGCAACAGATAACCAAAATAAATGATTTTTATTCTTGCGGCTTAGAACTCTGACTGATGCAAATAGCCTTTTCTCTCCTTCTAGGTGGTGAGTGTCCCTGGAGATGGAGGTCCTTTCCGTATCTCAGTACCCCACTTGCTACTCGTGCTATTTTTTGCAGGGTAGTTGCTAATACATTTTCCTTCTTAAATCTCGTTAGACAGATTGGGGTTTAAATAAAAAATAAAAACAAAAAATTGGATGCAATACATGTCAGTTGAACTGAATTGAATATTTTTATCTAGCAACCACTTCTAAAAAGCATTTGCTTCTGTTTGTTTACAAACTCCACAGAAATTTCCCTACAGCTTAAAGTCAACACCCATGAAATTATGTTCAGGGGGTACCAAAACCATTTCATTTTATCAAAACCATTTCTGAGCTCTGCCTTTGGTCACTGGGCATTGCACTCTTATATTTACGTCAGGTGACACCATTTGGGATTTCTGTGCCTACCTTTTTCCATTTTAATGCTGTAATTAAAAGCTCTCTATTGGTGGGCGTCAGGGACCTGTTTCATAAGCATCTATGGAACACTGCAAAGACTGAAATCAAGTGACTAGGCCCAACAAATGCTATCTGGAGGGACCCATTGTTTACTCCTCTAGAGCGTCAGTCTGTGTGGCTAACAATCACTGGATTATGTTTCTGCAAACCCGTGCTATCTCCCGATTTGACTTTCCCATCCCCCTGACAGATTACTGACTTGCCAGTCTGAAGATAAATAAAGCAATTCACTCACTGTCTTCCCGTGTTTTCCAGGACTGGTAAATGCCTTTCAGTTGCAATTTAAATTCATCTTTGGAAACATCCAGCCGCTTTCCTTAGTTGATCTGGCCCCTTCCTGACGAGATTAGTCTTCAACAGAGATGCTTGGGAACCATGGGCTCCCAGCATCAATTTCCCATCACTTCACCCAGGCATTTTTGTTGTTGTGTTTTCTGGTTGAGCATATACACAGCAAAACATACACCAATTCAACTGTTTCTTTATGCACAATTCAGTGACATTGATTATATTCTTCGAGTTGTGCATCCATTCTCACCCTCCTTTTCTGAGTTGTTCCTCCCCCACTGCCCAAGTTTCCTATCTAATCTTTCAAGTTGCTATTGTCACCTTGATCCCATATAGATATCCCTCATGCATTTGTGAAAGCTGCCCGTGGCAGTAATCAGCAGACCATTTAAAGGGAAAGAATTGTTCTGAAAGAGATTTGTCTTGTTATTTGCCATCCAGTCAACGCCGACTCACAGCGACCTCCCACGTGCAGAGTAGAACTGCTCCGTAGAGTTTTCAAGGCTGTGACCTTTCAGAAGCCAATCACTAGACCTGTCTTCTGAGGTGCCTTTGAGTGGATTTGAACTACCAACTTTTTGGCTAGTAGTTGGTAGCTTAACCATTTGTGCCAAATAGAGACTCATATCCTATCTAGAGATTAGACTAGAAACAAACACCTGTTTAGAACATGCACTTATTGCAGCTTAAAGATTCTCAATTGTTAAGCGCTTAACTGCTAAACAAAAGGTCAGTTATTTGAACCCACCAGCGGTTCTACAGGAGAAAAGACCTGGCAATCTGTTCCTGTAAAGATTACAGCCCAGAAAACCCTATGGGGCAGTTCTGCTCTGTCCTATAGGGTCAGTATAAGTTGGAACCAACTCAACAGCACACAACAACAGGGTTCTAAGACTCCACGCTAATTTTCTATCATGTGGGCCTCTGATGCATCCTGGTAAAGCGAGCATGGGATTCTGTCAGACTTCTGTGGCTTCTGTGACCTTTTCCCCAGAGGAATAGGCACGGCCAATGGAGTGGCTCTGTGAGGCCTCACGGGAGCTGTGAGAACTGCCAATATTGATGGCTGCCTCTATGAAGGACAACAGTTAAACTCTGCCAGCCACTTCATGAGGTGACTCTTACCACTTACTACATGTCGGGAACGGTTCCGCTGTATTAAATACTCATAACAGCTCTGAGGCGGAGCCTCTCACCACATTTTACTGAGGAGGAAATTGGTCAAGGCCTCACAGGACAAACTAAGGTTGGATGTCATAATGCTTGATGACTTCCTGTGGTCTAGCAAGGGACACAAGCCTATGGCCTGTGGGACAAATTAAAAACCAATGATTATGAAAGAAGTGAGGTGGCAACATTCAAAAATTGGGAGTTTTCACAGAAAATTTCTATTTCTGGCTTCTCTTGAAAACTGGGAAAATCTGGCAACTATACTCTTACAGCTCCATATGGCAAAAGTTGGCTGGAGCTGAGTAACAGCTGCCCTTCTGGGCAAGGTTTCCGCCCTTCAGATTGCCTCAGGCCCCAACTGCCCAGTTCTCTTATGTTTCTTATCTCCTTTTGAATTCACTACTCTTGGGCTACTAATCAAATTTAATTTTTTACCTCAGCTTTGCCCTCCTCCCCAGCCCAGTGATACTGAATAGCTCCTAACACCCATCATGGCCATGCTGCTGGGGTTCTTTGCTGCTGTTCTGTCTGGAGGAGACAGAGTAAATTAACTCCTGTTGAGGTGGATCAAGAAGACTTGAAATAGGCTTTACAGTGTAAAGGATTTGGCTGGACAAAGCCATAGGACACATGGCACATCAACCTCTGAGTAGTTTCTGCCTACTCATTCAGAAGTTGTTAGACAGAAGCCCTGGTGGCATGGTGGTTAAAGCACCCAGCTACTAACTGAAAGGTTGGAAGTTCAAATCCACCAGCCACTCCTCGGGAGAAAGATGTGGCAGTCTGCTTCCATAAAGATTTCAGCCTTGGAAACCCTATGGGGCAGTTACTCTGTCCTATAGGATCGCTATGAGTTGGAATTGACTCAAAGTCAATGGGTCATTATTGTTAGGAGTCCCTGGGTGGCATAAATGGTTAAGTGCTGGACTACTAACTGGAAGTTTGATGGTTCAAACTCACCCAGAGGCGCCTTGGAAGTAAGGCCTGATGATCTGCTTCCAAAAGATCACAACCTTGAAAACCATATGGAGCAATTCTACTCTGCACACTTGGGGTGGCCATGAGTCAGAATCGACTCAACAGCAACTAACAACAACATTATTGTTAGAGGGGGAACATTTCTGCTCCACCCCAGATGTTTCCTTCCTAGAGAAGGGAGCTCCACCATTTAGTGCATAGAATAAGGAAGATTGAGACAGGCTTGTGATAGGGCTAGAGACACTCAGAGACCTAGACCTGGAGCTGGATTTGGACACTGAAATGACTTTGTGGCAATGCTTATGGGGAAGGAGACGAAAACCTTTTCCATATTATGAGGTATATTTGTATTATATTAGGTGAGGTTTTTGTTGATTTGGTTCGTTTTATTTTGCTGCTGTTGTTCCTTGTTTGTTTTGGCAGTGTAAGTGTGGGGAAAACAAAGTTAGCATAGTGATGTAGAGCAGCCAACTAGTGGCATGTATCACTATTTTTGTCTTCCCAACATCTAAAACCCCCTCCTATGTGTGAAGAATCCACCTTTCATAAGACAAAACCCTCCTCCCATTAGTATCTTAAAATGCCATCTATTTGTTTTTCCTGGGTCCCTGGGCGGCGCAAACAGTTAAGCACTTGACTACTAGCTGAAACATTCAAACCCACCTAGAGGCACCTCTGAAGACAGGTCATGCAGTCTGCTTCCGAAAGGTCACCACCTTGAGAACCGTATGGAGAAGTTCTCCTCTGCACATGTGGGAGTGCCATGAGTTGGAATTGACTCAACGACAATGACAACTTGTTTTTCCACTCCTTCTTGCAGCGAGGTACTTGACCTCGACCCGGCTGACCAGTTGTGCCCACACCAAACTTTGGATTGGAAGGTGGTATGGAAATGCACAACCAGCAGGAGCCTCCTGGATCTGTGCTGGTGCTGAGCGGCAGCCGCAGGCGCCACCCTCAGTTGCCAGAGGCAATCATAGCGAAGTCCAGAGTTGGGGAATCGGGCCTGTGATGATGGGGTATCAGTGGATCAGTGTTGCAGGATGCAGCCCAAGTGCTGCTTCACCAGGATAGTTTGATGTGATCTGGGACATTGTTCCTGGCTGTAGCTTCTAAGCTGAAACCTCTGACTTTTAACTATTCTATGAGTTACCCAGTCACTTTTTAATGAATTCATGTTCTGCTTAAATCAGCCAGGGTTGGCTTCTGTTGATTGCAACTTAGAACCTTAATGGATACACGTCATTCATTCAATGTATAGTAATTGAACTCAGGCACTGTACTAGGTGCTATTAGATATCACAGATAAAATAAGTGATCAAATGCAGATATGGTTCCCACCTGCATGGAGTTTACAGTCTAGACAGGGAGATAGTCATCAAATAATAATGAAAATAACAATTGATATTGATTCTGTTGTCTTTTCCACATTACCATGAGCTGGAATTGACTCAACAGCAGCTGATTTTATTTTTATAGTCTCTTGAAGTTCACAACATTACTTCCTCCTGATACTTAAGCATAAGTATTTAGATTGGAAGGAAATGAGTAAAAGTGAGATGAATTAGACATAAGTGGTATTTTCTTCTTTATATAGTTTTTAATCTTCTAGATTCTCTATCATTGGCATTTATGTATTTTGAAAACATACCTTTTCCATTAGACAGATTGTACGTTATTCTCCTGCTGGAATCGTTGGAACCTGTAAAGATATTTGGTTAATGCAATCAAAACCTATTTTCCACTAGCCTGCATCATTATAACAGCAGTTGGAAACTGTAGCTGGTTTGTGTGAGCTTATACTAACCTTATTAATGACTCGGAATTGACTCGACGGCAGTGGGTATGGTTTTTTGGTTTGGTTTATCAACATAACATGTCTTCATAGGATTTGGAAGACGTGCTTTATTATTAGTGCAGTTGTAAAACAAGTAAAGCAGGTCACATTACAGTAAGAACAATTTTATTGAATATTAGAATAAATAGCCACGATGGAAAACTATTCTGAAAAGATCTGCAATTAAATTAAGCAATTATAAAACTGACTTATTAAATGTCTAAACTCCGGCACCTGCCTACTGATGTAAAATTATATTACTTTGCCTTCATGGTGAATGAACAGTCATATCAATGACCACGGATGACATTTCTCTCTCCTTTTCTCCCGCAGCTCATCTTCATGCTGTGTGTGTTTAGCCAAGTCAGTCTGCAGTCCCTTATGTTCAGATGCCTGCATCCCACCAAGCTTGCATTTTGTGATACCCTTTAAGAGTGTGCAAACGTCACTGTGGTTTGAGATAAGTAATTTGAAATTTAGTTGAAGAGCAAAATGGGAAACTCCATTTGCCAAATTTCATGACTCTTTTGGGTTTCCCTAGGCCAACTAACCCGTTCTTTGGGAGAGTAGATTCCTCTTCATTTTGCTGCTAAGCATTTATCCCTGTTGCTTTCTTTCCTTCCTGCCCTGTGCCTACTTCATTTATTTGTAAACCACTCAACTAAAAATACTCTCTATTGTTACTGTTGGAGCCCTGGTGGCATAGTGGTTAGGAGCTCGGCTGCTAACCAAAAGGTCGACAGTTCAAATCCACCAGCCGCTCCCTGGAGACCCTATGGGGCAGTTCTACTCTGTCCTACAGGGTCACTACGAGTTGGAATCGACTCAGTGGCACCTAACAACGACAACATAGTTACTGTTGTAGTTAGTTGCCGTTGACTTGGCTCCGACTCATGGCGACCTTACGTATGACAGTTACCCGGCCCTGTACCGTCTTCATGATAGTTGGAATGTGTGTGTGAGTGCATTGTTGTGGCTATTGTGTCAATCCATCTCACTGAATGTTCCCTTGTTTTCTCTGACCCTCTATTGTTACTAAACCCAAAAAACCAAACCCATTGCCATCGAGTGGATTCCAACTCGTAGTGACCCTACATGGTAGAACTACCCCATAGGGTTTCCAAGGCTGTAAATCTTTTCAGAAGCAGACTGCCACATCTTTCTCCTGCAGAGCAGCTGGTGGGTTTGAACCACCAACCTTTTGGTTAACAGCCAAGTGCTTTAATCACTGTGCCAGCAGGGGTCCTGTTCTATTGTTAGGAGTGATCATTTAATCATCAGACTCAAGGATCTATCTCTTTCCCCACTGGAGACCTCTGTAAATTTGTAAGACTCCCATTTTCCTCAAAAGAAGCAAACTCCCCTGAGGTTGACAATGGAAGGAGAAAACTTCACCGGGAAAGGGAAGCTGGGCCTGGCAGCCCCACCTGTGTCTGTCAGGTTCACCTTCCCCTTTCAGAGATTCTTGTTAATTACTCCTTGTGCTACCACCTCAAAGCTGGCAGGGATGGAAGTAGGCTGGGGAAGTTGGTCCCTTGAAGTCCATCTTCCTCTAAGACATTTACTCATTATTCCTACCATCACAGGATGGGGAGCACAGTGAAAAAGGTGGGTGTTAACGCAGTGCTAAGCGTTAATACATGATCCTTTCCTTACTTCACCATGACACACCTCACACAAGGCTGTCAACCTCTGTTCCTGTAACTTTTGGCTTTCTCCTGCGTCTTCCGCTCAAATTCTGCATGGAGAGGTGGACTGATTTAGGCCGTGCTGTCCAATGTCCTTCTCTGGATGGAGGTGTTGGACTGTGTTGAGGAAATATAATTAAAAACAAAATCTACTCCCAACCCAGAAAACCTCTCCACAAAAAATAGAAGAGAAAGAAAAGGTTTATTATTGAAAAAGCTTAAACCAGAATGTGATGCATCACAGGAAATCTGCTAAAGAGATTGCAAAGACAGAAAGAAATCTTACCCTTTATATAGTTGAGTGGATACAGCCCATTACATTCATGAATTCAAGATAAAATTGCTAATTTTGTAGTATCTTCATAGCAGGATACCTGAGGTTATGCTAATCACCTTTTAGGAGACTGGAGGGTAGGGGAGGATCACTTGAAGTTACCATTTTAAAAGGTGGCTGTCAGGTCCTTGAGTTAACACCTTAAATTTATATATTTTCAAAGAGACGGAGAAAGAATTTACAATCACAAATTATCTAAAGTGAATTCTGAAAGAACAGGGGAAAGGGAGAGCCTCTTCCCTTATTTTCGACAAGGAGAATTAAAACCTCTTATCTTCTATTTGTATTTGTCCTTACAACTGCCAATAACCAAAACCAAACCCATTGCTGTCGAGTCAATTCCGACTCATAGCGACCGTATAGGACAGAGTAGAACTGCCCCGTACAGTTTCCAAGGAGCACCTGGTGGATTCAAACTGCGGATCTCTTGGTTAGCAGCCATAGCTCTTAACCACTACGCCACCAGGGTTTCCACAACTGCCTATAGATTAGCTTTTACTGAGCCATATGCCCATTCCAGAGAGGCCTAGTGGTATCTACTTTGCTTATTACCTGGAATAGATAATTTTTTTTAACACTTCCCCCCCATATGACAAAAATATTCTAATAAGAGTATAATAATGATAATTAAACAGTCTTGATTCATTTTTCAGTTTTAAAACAATTTTAAAAGAATATACTTTAATTTTAAAGATGGTATTAAAAATTGCCCTTACCAAACAACAGTACACCTCTCAGTACAAGATTTCCGGTGTTAAATTTTAAACACAAATGAAAACTCCAAGATGCCACGCAGCGTCACAGAAGTGAAGTACCTCAACCACCCATTTGTGATCGTTCTGTTACTAGGAAACAAAGACACCATCCTAAACCAGCCGGTTCCCAGGCAACCCACCAACTGACGCATGAGTGTGTCTAGCCAAGTTCAGTCAAGCCTGGGCCGGATCGGGAGAACCACCCAACCAATGCATAAACTCATGAGAAATAATAAATGGTTGTGTTTTCAGCCTGAGTTTTAAGGTGGCCAGCTATGCAGGATTACCTGCCTAGCAGCAGTTGATTGAAACAAGATGCACCAAGCTGCATCAGTCAGTTTCCCTCTCTTGGGAATTTGAAACTAGGATTAAGACAGGAAAGTTCAACCTAGGCTGATCTCCTGAACACAGTAGATATTAAAATTTGGGAGCTATGGTATGACCATGAGCTATGGTTATCGGGAGGGACCAGTCCCTGGAGAAGGACATCATTCTTGGTAAAGTAAAGGGTCAGCGAGAAAGAGGAAGACCCTTGACGAGATGGACTGACACAGTGGCTGCAACAATGGGCTCAAACATAACTATTGTGAGGATGGCGCAGGACCATCTCTTGTACATATGGTTGCTAGGATTCGGAGCCGACTTGATAGCACCTAACAACAACATGGTATAACCAAATTCAGTAGGTGAACTGCATAGCAAAATAATCAGTCTGCAGAGAGAGAAACACAGATATTCTTGATGAATTTCCATTTTCAGTTCCAGCCTTTTCTGAGCTTAGCTGCATTCTCGTCCGTGGATTCTTATAATAAATTCCCTCTTTTTTGTGTGCTTAACATAGCTTAAAGTGGTTTCTGATACTTGCAAATAAAAGATTTAGATAGATTTTTTTTTAATGTAGCAGATTGCCTTGTGTTAGGTAGGTATTTAATAAGCAGTAATTGTAAGATCTGTTAATTCAATCAATTAGGTATTAGGCAAGTTTGCTTTTCTTACATTTGGTTCAAGAAAACTTATGTCTTTACATATACCATTCCATGCATTATATTATATTTCCTCAATTGTAAAATGTCATCCATTGCAAGACACTATTGATTTAATAATAGTCTTTTGGGGCAAAAACAAGAAACTCAATAAAGGTATCTCATATGTTAAAAACTAATCAACAGATCACTTTTTTTTAAATATCAAAATCTAAGCTTACTGTCTACCTTACCACATTGGCAGCACCATGACAGCAGGGACTATGAATTGGTGATGATTGTGGCCCAGCTCCTAGTGGACTGCCTGACATATAGTAAGTACTCAATATCTTTTTGAATGAATGGATACAAGAATGAAATGAATAAGCAACACCCTTGTTCAGTTAGCAGTAGCCATGGAGATGAGATCATGTTATAGCCACACTGGTTTCACCTTCTGCTTTTGAGATTTTTTTTTTCTTATTTTCAAGCAAGACTGCCACCCCCTCACCCTCACTTCCTTGGGTATAAATAGGATTTGGTTGCAACTGAATTTCTACTTCAAAGGCATAAAGTGTTCTGGCTTTATTTCTAACTACCCTCCTCCCCTAAAAAACAAAAAACAAAAAAAAACTATTGCCGTGGAGTCAATTCTGACTGATATTTTAAAATTTATCTTTCTGAGAAAGGTGCATATCAATTATAGATAAGAATTTATTTGCAAACAACAGTCAACAGCCATAATTTCTTATTTCTATCTTCTTCCCAAGTGAGAGAAAAACAATTACATGGTCATTATAATTCAGCTCCCAGCCTACAGAAAGGGAATCAATACAAAACCTATTGGGAGTCTTTGAGGAATTTGAAATAGATAGAAAACATGATTCTTCCTCTGGAGGGCTTGTCTTTCTGTGAGACAAACTGGAAGAGAGGCAATAATTACCTCTAACTTCACAAAGTCTAAACATTCATCTCCTGTAGTCTGACTTGTTCTTCTATACACTAGTTAAAAAGCTTGGGTTGTGGGGCAGACTGACCTGAGTTCAAATTCTAGGGCCACTAACATATTTTTTCACAAAGAACATGCTCATGTAAATAACCCACCTATGCATGTAACACACGGAAATGATGAAATTAAGTAAAACAGGTCTGGCATAGCACACCCATGCATATACCGCTCATGTCTCACGTCTCATGATATGTCCAGAATTGAGTTTCGGCCTCATTTACTTATCCTCCCATATTACAGGTAAATCATATCATTCTGTTCATTTTCTTTTGTTCTGTTCATTTTCTTTAATCACCTGCTTATGTGTATAAAAATAGTCCCAAGTGTTAATTTTGATTATAATTGTATAATAAGGGTATAAACCATGGTCAAGAAGTCATGGATTAAGTTTGGTAGTTCCCTGGTGTCTTAGTTATCTAGTGCTGCTGTAACAGAAATACCACAAGTGGATAGCTTTAACAAAGAGAAATTTATTCTCTCGCAGTCAAGGCTAGAAGTCCGAATCAGGGTGCCAGCTCCAAGGGAAAGCTGTCTCTCTGTGTGAGCTCTGGGGAAAGGTCGTTGTCATCAATCTTCCCCCGCTGTGGGAGCTTCTCAGCATCAGGGATCTCTGGTCCAAAGGATGCACTATTCTCCTAGCTCTGCTTTCTTAGTGGTATGAGGTCCCCCTGTCTCTGCTTGCTTCTCTCTTTTATATCTCAAAAGAGACTGATTTAAGACACAACCTAATCTTGTAGATTGAGTCCTGCCTCATTAATATAACTGCCTCTAATCCTGCCTCATTAACATCATAGAGGCAGGATTTACAACACATAGGAAAATCACATCAGATCACAAAATGGTGGACAATCACACAATACTAGGAATCATGGCCTAGCTAAGTGGACACACATTTGTTTTTTTTTTTGCTTTAATTCAATTCATAACACCTGGTAATTGGAAGATAAACAATTGAAACTGTGCGTTTGTTTCTATTAATTTAAGCTGGTAATTATAGCTCATTAGCTCAACTGTTGAATGTAAAAGCTTTATCAGATTGTCTTAAGTGAAACCATTAAGTTATGTTAGGTTTGCTGATTTCATAGTTTAATTATGTCTTCTTAGTGTCAATGGGGAGCCCTGGTGGTGCAGTGGTTAAGAGCTTGACTGCCAACCTAAAGGTCGGCAGTTTGAATCCACCAGCTGTTCCTTGAAAACCCTATGGGGCAGTTCTACTCTGTCCTGTAGGATTGCTATGAGTTAGAATCAACTCCACAGCAATGAGTTTTTTTTTTTTTTTTTTTTGGTAGCATCAACTGAAGTCAGCAACATGTAAAAAAATTGGCATAGCACGCTTACAAAAATAACACACGGGGGGTAGCACAGTTGGCAAAAAAGCATACAACATGTACGTTATTTGCAAAAGATATACGGTACTTAATTGTGTAACTTTTGGGAACCTATTTAATCTCTCCAAACTTTAGTTTCTTCATATTAAAACAATGGGGATACCTACACTTATCCATTTAAAGAGTTGTTGTGAGGATTACATCAGAAAAAGCATGTAAATTACTTAGCATTGTACTTGGCACATACTAAGATCTTGATAAAATCTTCCCGTGATTATTTTTAAACAATAGTCATTAGTTAGCTACAGTGAGAGTGATAACTACTAATAGCAATTAGAGGGTGCATAACTAACCACTCCCAAATTTAGTGGCTTAAAATAACAATTATTTATATAGCTTATATTCCTATGCGTTCACAGTTTGGGCTGGTCTCAGTTGGGCAGTTCTTATGCTGGTCTTGACCAGGCTCACTCTTGAAATCTTTGCTCAGCTAGACCGTCATCTGGGCCTCAGGTTTATGACAGCCTAATCTGGGATCGTTGGGATCAATGGGGCCTCTCTCCTCCAGGAAGCTAGCCCAGGCTTCTTCACAAACACATTCCAAGTCTTTGCTTGCACAATGTTTGTTACTGTCCCATTGGCAGTTCGAATCCACCAGTTGCTCCTTGGAAATACTACTGAGGCAGTTCTACTCTGTCCTGTAGGGTCACTATGAGTCAGAATCAACTTGACAGCAACGGGTTTGATTTTGGAGTTTTTTTGCTACTTTATGTTTATCACTTCCCTTCCACTCCGCCTCACTTTCTCTCTTCCTTCCTTCATTGCTCAAATATTTACTAAGCACTTAATATGTCCCATGTA